GGACGGCAACCAGCAATGCTCCCTGACCAACCTGTCTTGGACCACGAGCAGCCGACGGAAACATCTGACCGTTCTCGTGAACAGACGATACGCAGGATATGTATTGTAGCTACCACTCAGGCCACAGCAGCAGCTAAGACCGATCGTACCTTACGCACTAAAACGACTATTACTGGTCAGCACTATTACGATGAAGGAGACATGGCCGATTACCATCGCCCTACGACTACGAAGGATGACTGGGGAGGCTGGAATGGTCCGTTCCCAGTTGCAGAGAATGATCCCGAAAGGGGATCAGGTCATCATCCGAGTGGGCAATCGGGATGCCCAAGTACAATACGGCGATGCAAGGCATTCATTATACATTGGTGCACACATAGCCCGAGAGATTGGCTCCGACAACACTGCACTACGCACGGTGTTGACATTCGTAGCCAGCCTATCAGCGGGGAGACCTGCTTTGACCTTTGGCTATGTGCCGACCAAGAAAGGGGCGCTTCAGATGACGACCACAAGCCGTCTATCTCCCAAGGCTCTACAGTACCTCATCAGAAATTTCTTTCGCATTGAGGATGTTGTCTCAGTCAGGCTAGCCAAGAGTATCCATACATTGCCTCCGGCTACTTACGCCGACAGCTGCGCATTGGTTCACTGCGACAACGGCGTGAATCCAGGATATCATTACTACGGAGCAGAAGGTACTGCTCTGAATATACAGGATATAACTGGACCAGCACATTCACGAATTATCTAATTCCTGAAGTCCACTAAACCCCAAGCAGGTTTTGATCAGGACATGTCAACATTTGAGGAATTGGCAGATACACCGACACTGGATGGAGACGCGAGAGAAGCCTCATAAGCCGAACCATCACATGATGACGGGTGGCTCTCTACGATTTACGGAAAACCAGAGGCTGATCTTGAGTCGCATGCTTTGGAGGCGCGGCACGCAGAACTACAATGGGAAAGGGAACTGTTGGAGGCAACTCCACCAGGGGACCTCTTCGCCATACCTACACAGATGGTTCCAGATCAAAGTGCGCTGATCACTGTAGCTGACGCACAGCGAGGACACCTGCCGAAGTGGGGACGCACGCGCGACTCCGATACCGAGGAGACGTACTACGCCCCCATGTGCACCATGGTCGAAGACGACAGCTACGGACTCGACTCAAACGGAAATGGTCGATATGTCGAACTTTGCTTTGCGGCAAAGATGTCGAAGGTAGTCTTGTCCGAGCAACAATATATGATATTAGATGCCGGGCGGGTGGCCGCTGTGCGAGAATACGTCACCGCCTCTGCACAGCGAGTTGTGGTCGTCAAGGAGGACGACCTCTTCGCGAAAGCTGACACTCAGGCGAACCCCGATCAAGCACCGAAGGCCCTCTACACTATACTCAAGACATGGCTCGACAACAAATGCTTGAAGATGCAGGAGATAGCCAAAGCGTCGAACATCATGACTTTGAGATACGGGCACAAATGGAAGTTCGTGAAGAACGAGAAGGGTCGGATGGAACGTACCATCCGATTACGCTTGGTTCTCCGAGGTTTCATGGACCTCGAAGCCTTCGACGTAGAAACATGTTCGGGAACAGCGAGACGGCCAAGCCACAGGTTACTCGCTAGCACGGCAGCATGCAAGAAGCAGTGGCTCTGCTTCCCTTGACATCAACATGGCCTTCCTGAAAGGCTTGACCTTTCAGGAACTTGCTGAGGCGACTGGTGAAAAGGAACGTGCGGCGCGTGTTTACATTGCCGCCAGGATCGGCCACAGTGCTCCGAACTCTCCCAGGATTCGAGCACTACGACGAGTCAAAGCACTGTCTACAGCGCATGAAACCAGGGACAGGCACCAAAGACGCTCCACGGGCTTTCTCACTTGAGCCCAGGAGGACCACCAGAGGATTTGGTCTCCGACCCACGTCCTACGACGAGGAGTTCGAGACGAGCAACAACTTGCTCACGGCCAAGCATGTTGATGACATCAATACGGCCGGCATTGAGGACACCATTGACAAGTATGTCACATGCGTTGAAGATACTTTCGGTCAGTGTAAACTCAACAAGCACACCTACACTAAACGTGCTGTGAGATACACCAAGGACTAGGACGGCAATGTCACTTTGGATCAAGATGAATATATCAAACAGCTCCGTCCTACACAACATCCCGAACTAACCGGCGCCGACGCTGACGCTCAGGCAACCCGGATGGCGGCAGACATGTTCGTCAGCCTCAGGGGTGCGCTGGCATATGCACTAATCACCCATGTGTGTTTGATGGTGTACGTTGCATCTCTACAACGTGTCCAAGAAGCGACCAACATTCAAGCACGACGACTGAACGCGATCACCAGAAAGCTACAGGCCTGCCCGAAGAAAATCGTCTACCAGGCGACGAATCGACCTACATGGCGACTCAGGATATCTACGCCTGAGTGGAGACGCCGATGACGACGTCAATGGCTATGGTATTCGCGGGGCAAACCTGCTAAGACGTGGAAACACGTCATCCGGTAAGCTTCTCGTTCACTTGATGCGATGCGCACTGCATGTCTCACCGCTCGCAGGTCCGCTCGAGCTGTTCAGCAGAGACACCGGCGGCAGCCCATAATTTGGAGGACTGTTATCCCACGAGCGTGACTCTGCACGAGCTCCACGCGGGGCCGCTCACGCCCACTCAGTTTAAAAGATATACTTGGGTTTGGGTGGCTTGAGCATCAAGATCACTTTGACCATCGATGCTGAGTATGTTTTTAAGCCCTTGTCAAACAAAGACTTGCAGAAGCCGAATGAGTGTACCTTTTGAGGACGCATCAGTTGGATACGACAGATGATGGAGCGTGGAATCGTGTACAGCATTCAGTGGTGTGACACCCGCGATATGACTGCGGATGGCCACACCAAGGGGAGCATCGACAGAGAAATGCTCCTACAAGTCATGGGAGGTATACAGACCTTCAAACATGACCTGAAGAGACATACTCCATATCGGGCAGGCCAAACATCAAGTTCTGACGCCGCCTGATGAGTACGTCACATACATGCGAGGCAAATTGCTAGCGGGTCCACCTTCCTTTAGGCCCGTTTCCTTGTTTTGTCCTTGTGTATGCTAGCTGCTATGACTGCTGTGCAGGGGCGACGGGCTCACGCTTCGTGTCCTTCCCGGCCCGACTCTAAAGCGAGCTGAGGGACGTAAGGAGTGGAAACGAGCGTGCGCCCGCGGCCGCGTCGGCTCAAGCGGCCGGCCGCCCAAATATGATTGGTGCCTCACTGCGAGGCACACAATCGTTCATACTGGGACTGTCTTTACTACGGTACAACAGAGCGGGAGCTTGGTTTCGCCTGAAGCGAAGTTGCTGGCTGGGCCTTCCAACCCCCTTCAAACTCAATGTGCCAGGGGGCGTGGTGTCGGATCAGGTCATCTATCTCTATTGTCGCTCTCTCTCTCTCTCTCTCTCTCTCTCTCTATCTCTCCTTGTTGCTCTCTCTCTCTCTTTCTCTCTCTCTCTCTCTCTCTCTCTCTCTCTCTCTGTCTCTCCCCCTATCTTTATACCCCATATACGTGTATATACATATATATATATATATATGTATGTATGTGTGTATCGGGGTACCAGGGGTGGGGGCCCTCGCCCAGCTGGCCCCCGTCGCCATGGTTCCTTCAGGTCCCCCGGAGAGTCCCGGCCGTGCCGCGAACCTGCCTAGAGAACCCCAGGACGAGTCCGGAGTGCCCCCACAGGCCCCCAAGACGTCCCCAGAGGCCCCCGAAACGACCAAGATGAACCCAAGACGGCCCAAGCGGCCGCCAAGACGCTCCAAGAAGTCTCCAAGAGGTCTCCCCCGAGGACCCCGAGGAGGGAGAATTGTTAATTCTCCGTTGCGTTGTTCGATGTTTTCGGCCTTCTCGCCCGCTCGCCTTCCCGACGCTCCAAGACCGCCCAAGAGGCCCGCCCGCCAGGACACCCCACGACGGCCCAAAAGTCCCCAAAGACGCTCCACGGACGGCCCAAGAGACACCCAAGACAGCCCAAGAAGGCCGCCCCAAGAGGAGACCTAGCGGACGACCAAACATTCAAGAGTCCCCAAGAACATTCGAAGAGACCCCAAGAGGCCTCCGAAAGACTCCAAGAGACGACAAATACAGGCTCCCAGAGACCCCCAAGAGCCCCCATGGAGCCTTCAGGCCAACACAAGCCGAGGATGCCCCGCCCCACCCGCGCGAGGCCTTTCTTCGCCCCCATGTCCTGGACAAGGCTTTCTGGAACATGGGAAAGGGACCATGCGCCGCCGACATCGACGGCGACGATCGCGCAAGGTACAGAGGGCAGGGGTCCAGGGTCCAGGGTGCGAGCGAATAGGGCGCAGGAGCGCATGAGAATGATCAGAGACCCCCTCGTGTTCCGGAAGCGCACTTCCGGAACATGGGATGGGAGAAGACCCCGCCGCCTTCGTGGCAAGAGTCCCCCCCCCCTCAGCCCCGAGGCCGTGCCCACAACTAGAATATGTGTGCGTGCGGAGGTTCCAGTGTATATATATATATATATATATATATATATATATATAAGTATATATGACTAAATAGATAATGGCACTATACATAATCCATATATCCTTATATATATATGCATTTATACACACACAAAACTCTCTCTCTCTCTCTCGTCGTTTGTTTCTCTCTCACTCTCTTTCTCGCAATCGTTTGTTTCTCTATCCACACGTGTACATGGATACATATCTCTCTATCTCCATGATGCTATCGTTCTGTCTCCCGGCATCTGTTTTATCATTATCCGTTTGTCGTTTCACCGCCACGTGCGCTTATTCTCACTCTTCCATCTGTTGCGTCGACTCGTAATTGATAGTATGTTCAACCTCGCTTCTCTTCCTCATGGTCCCCTCTCCATCCCTTTTGTCGCAAGACGCCACCTGGAGCATTGCATGACGAGGATTGCTTAACATCTCTGCTTTGTCGCGACCGCACCCCACAGGAGAAGGCGAAGAAACTCTCCGCGGGCATTGACGTCGGGATCCTAGCAGCGCCTTCCTACTCGCCTCCTTACTCCTCGGCCTCCTCCCCGGGGCAGCGTATGCGGGGGATGATGAGGGAAGAGGGAGGCGAAGAAGGAAGGGAAGCGAGGAGGAGGACGGAGGAACACGAGGAGGCGGGCGAGGAGCAGGCGAGGGAAGGGGAAGGAAGGGGGTAGAGGAGGCATAAGAATCGCAGGGGGACGGGAAAGGAGGAGGGCATGTGCGGGAGGTGGGTGGGAGAGGAGGAAAATGAGAAAATGAAGTGGAAGGGGGAGGGGTGGATGAGAGGGAGGAGGGCTGCGGCTTTCCTAAACCCAAAGCATCGAAGTCGGTGGAGGATAAAGAGGAGGAGGAGGGTGGATGTGGAGGGGAGAGGGAGGAGGAGAGGATCGGCGAGGAGAGGCGAGGAGAGGCGAGGATGAGGAGGAGGAGGAGGAGGAGGCAGGGAGAGCAGGGGGAGTGAGGGAGGAGATGACGGAATAAAACATACATGGGGGATAGGAGTGGAGGTGGGAGTGGGGACAAGGCGTGAGCGGAGGTCGGTGGAGAGTGAGCGGAGGCACGCCGCTTTCCACCGCAATCACAGCACAAAACTCAACAGGCTTGCGCCGCATCCGCCGACCGGAGTTACTGTGGGCTCCAATGATCGGGAGCCTTGCGACGGGGGTCAATGCAAACGGGGGTCAGCCAGAGCGCCCGATCTTGCAGGATCCTGCAGGGCCAGGGTCGCATTGTTCCGGGTTTGGGTGCAGGATCCTGCAGGATATTGCAGGATCTTTCGCATTGGCCCGGGTTTGGGCGCATGAGATTGCAGGATCTTGCAGGATTTTGCAACGCCTGACTGACCTGGGTCTGGATTGACCCAGGTCAGCAGATTCCCCAAATGAGGAAACCAAAGCGCGAATATCTCGAAACATTCGCGCGGCGTGGTGGTGGAAGGGCAGTTTTTTTCGGAAGCGAGCTAAGACAATCCTTGCACACGCAGTCGTAGTATCACATTCCCTCTTGTTCCCTCCCCTTCACTTTCTCTATCCGCTGCCACGCTCCACTCAAGACAGTTGTTTGACTTCTACTTACAAAAGATCGATCCTCCTTCCCACTCCCTCATCTCATGCCACTCTGGTAGCGGAGCCTGGTTGCAACCAGCAAGGCTCTTTGCCTCCAACACCCACCAGTAGCGGACGCGCACCGCTGCCTTACCCGTCTGACCGCAACTGCAACCGGCCAGGCTCTTTGCCCCTCACACCCACCACCAGCAGCGGACGCGCACCGCTGCCTTGCCCGTCTGACCAGCTCCCCCGATCCTTGCTGGTTGTTCGACCGGGCCACCGCTCCCGCCAAGTTGGGTTCAACACAGAACTTGCAATCGGAGGAGGAGGGGGGCGGAGGAGGAGGAGGAGGAGGAGGTGGAGGAGGAGGAGGAGGAGGAGAAGGAGGGAGGAGGAGGAGGAGAAGGAGGAGGAGGAGGAGGGAGGGGAGGGGAGGGGGCCAGCGCCCTCGGGCAGCTCGCGCACCCCCCCCCGGCGGCGGAGCAAGATGCGGCCGCTGCCCTGCTGGGGCCGCCCGCGCGAGGGGGGGGGGGCGGGGGGCAGGGGCAGGAGGGAGAGGAGGGGGGAGGGAAAGGGGGGCGCGCTCGCATCAACGTCTGACAGATTACCCTTCCCGTCTACAACATCTGGTGAGAGTGTCGGCCGTTCGAGGTCATCGGACCCACTGCCACCAGGCTCGGAGGAGGGAAAGGTACGGATACCGATCCCTTGGCTCTGTTTTCGCCTCTCGGGGCTTCGTTTCGAAATTCTGGTCAGACAGTACCCAGGGAGAGGTCTGGGGAGTAGTGGTATCAGTACCTTTTCGTTTCCTTTTAGATTGCTTTTGTCATGGGCCAACACAAAGGCGCCAGGTTATTTGCGGTTTGCGATTCGCGACTTTTCTTCTTAATTCTCCTCGTCTTTCTCTTCTCCCCTGGGAGGCGGCGCGAGAGCGCGAAATTATTCGCGCTTCGCGCACCGCGAAGCGCGAACATTGTTGCCCTTGAGTTAGGAGCCCCATGCAGTGTCATCACGGTCATGGGTCCGTGCGCCCCGTTCTTCTTCGTCGCCTCTCTTGCGTTGGTACCGTTCTGTATCGGGCCGCCGCGGCTGGCCGGCGCACAAGAAAATCAGCATCGCTGCGCGTTTCTATCTTTCTTGCTTTCTCTCTCTGTCTCTCTCTCTCTCTCGCGCTCTCTCTCTCTCTCTCTTTCTCTCTCGCTCTCTCTCTCTCTCTCTTTCCCGCTCTTTCTAATCTCTCTCTCTCTCTCGCTCCTCGTGTGTGCGTATTAGTTTATATATATATGTGTATATATATAGAGAGAGAGAGAGAGAGATCCCTGGGCACGCGGCGGGGGGGGCCGCGAGGGGGCCTCTAACGCTCCATGGGGGCACCGGGCCGCCAGGGCCGCCCCCAGACGGCCCAAGACAGCCCCAACACAGAAGAGAAAGGGCCGCGAGAGGCCTCCAAGAGGGCTACGTTCTAACGCGCCCAAGATGGCCTCCATATGATCCGCAATGCTTCCAACACGGCCCACGGGGTTTCCAAGAGCATTCCAAAAAGAAACCCAAGAGGCCAACATCATTGATTTTACATTCGTGCTTTTTAGCGTTTCTGCCTGTTCAGCTTCCAGACGTTCTAAGCCGGTCCAGGACACCCAAAAATAGTCCAAACAGGCTTCCACGAGGGCGCCGAGACGGCCCAGGGCCGCCCCCAGACGGCCGAAGAAAGCCCCAACACAACTGAAAAAGGCCGCGAGAGGCCTCCAAGAGGCCCCGAGACGCGGACATATCGCTGGAACATGCCCTAGATGGCCTCCAGATGGCCCACAAGGCTTCCAACACGGCCCAAGGGGTCCCCAAGAGCACTCCCAAAAGGGCCCCAAGAAGCCACAATCATGGATTTGTCCTTTCTGGTTGTTGGTGCATTTCAGCGTTTCTGCCTGTTCAGCTTCCCGACGCTCCAAGACGGTCCCGCAAATCCAAATATCGCCCCAACAGGCCCCCACGAGGGCGCCGAGACAGTCCAGGGACGCCCCGAGACGGCCCAAGGCAGCCCCAACACAGAAGAGACAGGGCCGCGAGAGGCCTCCAAGAGGGCTATAGTCACCGAAATATCGTTCTAACGCGCCCAAGATGGCTTCCAGATGGTCCACAAGGCTTCCAACACGGCCCCAGGGGGTTCCAAGAGCATTCCCAAAAAGGCCCCAAGAGGCCAAAATCATTGATTTTACATTTGTTTTTGATACATTGTTAGCGATTGTGCTTGTTCACGCTCCAAGACGTCCGGGATACCCAAATATCGCCCAAACTAGCTCCCACGAGGGCGCCGAGACGGCACTGGGACGCTCCCAGACGGCCCAAGACGGCCCCAACACACATGAAGAGGGCCGCAAGAGGCCTCCAAGAGAGCTCGAAACGCGGACAGATCGTTCGGAAACGCGCAAGATGGCCTCCAGATAGCCCAAAAGGCTTCCAACACTGCCCAAGGGGTCTCCAAGAGCATTCCCAAAAGGGCCCCAAGAGGCCCAAATCATTTATTCCCTACCTAGGCTCTGCCTAGAAGGGTTCTTACTCTGTTTGCTTAAAGGGCCGGGCAGTGGGGCACGCCCCGGGCGGTTCCCCCGGCATCCGCCCCGCGGTTCCCCCAGTGAATTTCCTTTAGCTTCGTGTTGCTTATCTCATCTTAGATTAGCTTATTTCATCTCTCCTTAGCTTAGCTTCATCTTACCTCAGTTTTATCTTAGCTTAGCATACCTTCATTTTAGCTTCGCCGAGCTTTAGCATAGCAGAGCACAGCATAGCATAGCATAGCGTAGCATAGCATAGCGCAGCATCGCATTTCATAGCATAGCCCATCATAGCATAGCATAGCGCAGCATAGCATAGCATAGCATATCATAGCATAGCACAGCACAGCACAGCATAGCACAGCGCAGCATAGCATAGCATAGCATAGCAGAGCAGAGCAGAGCATAGCATAGCGCAGCATAGCACGGCATAGCATAGCATGGCACAGCAACGAATGCCGCTTTCCTAGGGGGCTCCAACTTCTCTAGGTGGGGTCGCACTGGGGCATTTTTTTACACTGGCTTTGATGCATGTTTCGCGATTGTGCTCGATCACGATGTCAACACTGCTGCCTGGTCAGCGTCCCGGCGCTCCAAGACGGGCCCGGGCACGCAAATATCGCCCCGACGGGCCCCCCACGAGAGCGCCGAGACGGCCCAGGGACGCCCTGCCGCGGGCACGAGGCGGGGCCCCCGGGACGGAGCCTTCGGACCAGGGGGGCCCGGGGGCCCTGCCGTGGCACCGGGGGCTCTTCAGAATTGCCCGAAGGCGGCCCCGGAACGCCAGAGACGGCGCTTCCAGGCCGCGAAAACTACCAATGACGGCCCGAGATCACCCCAGAATCAGCCCCTGACTGTCCATGAGGCCCCCAAGGCCCCAAGAGGCCTCGAAGGCCCCAGGAGGCCCCCAAACTGCCTCCCAAGGAGCCCCAGGAGGCACAAATAACTACATTTCTATGGTTTGTGAAGGATTTTCGAGTTCTCGCCTTTTCAGTTTCCCGACGCTCCACGACGGCCCAAGAGGCCCCAATGTCCGCTCCAAGATAGCACCAGAGGCTTTGAAGACGGCCACAAGAAAGCCCAAGAGGGCCCAAGACGGCGCCAGAGGCGCCCAAGACTGTCCCAAGACGGGCCCAAGAGGAGCCAAGAGGGGTAACACGAACCGAAAATCCGAGCCTTCCACCCCGAGAGGCTCTCAGGAGGCCCCGAGAAGCCCCCAACGGGCCCCAAGAAGCGTCCCAAGGGGCCGAAGAGGATCCAAGAGACTCCCACGAAGGCCTAAAGAGGCAAAAATCACTGTCCCACGAAGGCCTCAAGAGGCAAAAATCCTTGATTTTCGAGGTTTCAGCCTTTGGGCGTCCCGACTCTCCAAGACAGCCCAAAAGATCTCCAAGA